TTACCTATATCTGGGTACATTTAAAAAATTAACTACAGCTTCACTTATGGTAAGTAGATGACAGAGAATTGCTAAAAAAAAAAAACCCACACAAACATAATCTTTACAAAACCTGCTTATTTTAGAAAAGAGAAACACATTCACAGTCAGCAAAGGATCTTTTCCTTCAAGCTTCTAGCACTCTCTGAGCATGGTTAAAAAAGTGATTTGGCCCTGGCTGACATAGCTCAGTGGATTGAGCGCGGGCTGGGAACCAAAGTGTCCCAGGTTCGATTCCCAGCCAGGGTACATTCCTGGGTTGCAGGCCAGAAACCCCAGCAACCGCACATTGATGTTTCTCTCTCTCTCTCTCTCCCTTCCTTTCCCTCCCTTCCCTCTCTAAAAATAAATAAATAAAATCTTTAAAAAAAAAAAGTGATTTGGTCTCTTTAGCTCTTAAAGGAGAATGTGCAGAGGTGGAGGAACAAGACATTTCCATGAAAACAGGTGTTGTTAAATGTATGCACAGACTCTTTTTGCCACATCTACTGAGAGGATGAAGACCATTCTCAGCAATCGGACTGTCAGACGTTCCAGAAAATGCTGACATCCCTCTGAGATGTGCGGTTATTGTGAAGGGGTGCAGAGGCACTCTCCAGAGGGACTTCAACCACATAACGTAGACATCAGTCTCCTTGGGACGAAAAAGAGGCTTGGGGTTGACAAATGATGGGGCAATCAAAAGGGGGTGGCTACCACTGTCCGCACTACCTGCTGTCCTACACAGAGCATAATCAGGGGTGTGACACCAGGCTGCCGTGACAAGATGCGGTCTGGATATTAACCCCTGTCAGATGCATCCGTGAGTATGTGCTCCCCTTCTGTGCATTGTCTTTTTATTTTGTTGGTGATTACCTTTGCTGAGCAAAAAGCTTTTTAGTTTGATGGAGTCCCATTTGTTTATGTTTTCTTCTGTTTCCCTTGCCTGGAGAGATAAATCTGAGAAAAAATTTCTATGAGAAATGTCTGAGATTTTGCTGCCTACATTTTCTTCTAGGAGTTTTCTGGTTTGGGGTCTAACATTGAAGCCTTTGATCCATTTTGAATTTATTCTTGTGTGTGGTGTAAGAAGGTGGTCTAGTTTCATTTTTCTGCATGTATCCACCCAATTTCCCCAATACCATTTATTGAATAAACTACCTTTAGCCCATTGTCTGTGCTTGTTTCCTCTGCCACATATTAATTGACTACAAAGGTGTGGCTTTGTTTCTGATCTCTCCATTCTGTCCAAAATTTATACAGAACATACAAAACTTAACACCAAAAAGACAACCTAATTTAAAATTGGGCAATGGATCTGAATAGACACTTCTCCAAAGAGGACATAAAGATGGCCAATAGACATATGAAAAGATGCTCAATGTCACTAATCATCAGAGAAATGCAAATTAAAATTACAGTAAGATACCATCTAATACCTACCAAAATGGCTATCATCAATAAATCAACAAACAGCTCTGGCTGGTGTGACTCAGTGGATTGAATGCCATTCTGTGAACCAAAGGGTCACTGGTTCAATTCCCAGTCAGGGCACATGCCTGAGTTGCAGGCCAGGTCCCCAGTAGTGGGCACATGAGAGGCAACCATACATGGATGTTTCTCTTCCTCACTTTCTCCCTCCCTTCCTCTCTCTCTAAAATAAATTTAAAAAATCTTTTAAAGATAAATCCATCAACAAGTAGCAATTGCTGTTGAAGATGTGGAAAAAGGGGAATACTTTTACATTGTTGGTAGGAAGGCAGACTGGTGAAGCCACAGTGGAAAGCAGTATGGAGACACCTCAAAAAATTAAAAATGGATCTGCCTTTTGACTCAGCAATCCCACTTCTGGGAATATATTGGAGGAACCCAAAACACTAATTCAAAAGAACACAAGCACCCCTATGTTCATTGCAGCATTATTTACAATTGCTAAGATATAGAAACAGCCCAAGTGTCCATCAATAGATGAATGAATAAAACTATGGAACATTTACACAATGGAATTCTACTTGTCTGTAAAAAAGAAGAAAATTTTACCCCTTGCAATAATATGGCTGAACCTGGAGAACATTATGCTAAGTGAAATAAGCCAGTGAGGGAAAGACAAATACCTTATGATCGCACTCATATGCTGGATCTAATGAACAAACTGAACAAGCAAAACAGAGACAGACTCATAGATGGAGAGCAGATGACAGCTAGTGGGTAGGGTTGTGGGGGAGGATAGGGAGTGGAGGGACTGAGCAAAAAGGAAAAATGTCTCGTGGACATGGACAACAGTCTGATGATTGCTGGGGACAGGAGGGTTTAAGGGGACTAAATGGTAATGGGGGAAAATACAGTAAGATTAAATAAAAAAAAAGATGAAGTCTGTGTACGCTTATTTCCCCATTAATGTCATTATTCAGGAGATTGGTTCTCTTGTTGAAACCCGCAGTTTCTTGGGTGAAAAATGTATCCGCAGGGTTCAGATGAGGTCAGGCACTGCTTGTTCAGTATCTCAGGCGCAGAAAGATGAGTTCATTCTTTAAGGACATGACATTGAATTTGTATCAAATTCAGCTGTTTTGATTCAACAAGCCACAAGAGTTAAAATGAAGGAAATCAGAAATTGCTGGATGATATCTATGTTTTTGAAAAAGAGCAAGAGTTCAGCAGGCTGGTGAATAAGATCTAAGTTGTTCAGCTACAGAAATGGCAAGATGTCCAGTGATTCCTCAGACTTAGATAACCTGTGATATTGTAACGATGCAATAAAAGCCGTGTATTGGTTTGTGGGGGAAAATGGATGCTGGTATGCAGTCCAGGTGGCATTCACTGCTGATGTTGATTTAAACGCGACACTTAATTGTGTTCACAAGCAGCTGCCTTCATGGTGTGGATTCACAACGGTCTTTTTGGTGGAAAGAGAAGTTGAAGTCTAAAAGCTATCACCTCCGGCTTTTGGTAATAACAGCTCTCCTTCTCTACACACCTGAAGGAATTTCACTTCTGCCATTAGAGTAAAACTGGGGACCTGCTAATAGAGTTGAGACATGGCATCTTGAAAGTTATTAGACCTCTGTATAGCAACTCGTATTTTAGTGGCTCCTAAAGTTATTTGCTAGCAAAAGTGGTAACTTAGAAAACATGAAATCTGTCAGGACCCATCAAGAACCATACAGTAGGATGCATTTTTGTTTGTGTGGGCATATAACAGAATTCTTTCCCCTGACTTCCATTAAAAAACAAACAAACTTCTTTTATCTTCCTCTATTCTTACTTTCTAAAACAATGACCCAATATAATTTTTGGAAACCACAATTTCACACCTTGCACATAGTACTCAGATAAGTACTTGCTTGGGCTGGAAAATGAGTAGAATTTGTTGGTTTCAGAAGCTATGGTGAATAAATGTTTTAAAGCACACCAAAGTCTAATAAATGTTTTGCATTATTGAAAAATTCACAAAATGTGTGCAGGGGTGATTATTGTGTAATTATTATTACAGTTAACACAGCTCACATAATCAACCCTAAGAAACAATTCAGTGTACTGGGGGTGCAGCTGGACAGTCAGCTGTGTAAGCGTTCACAGCCAGTGCTGTGTCAGGACGCGGCACTGGTGGCACAGCGGTGAGCACAGCTGCTTTCCAACAAAGCTGAACAGGCCAGGGGCAGAGCCGTTCTCTTGAAAGAACGGGCAATAACCTCTACATGGCACTGTGTGACTAGTAAGAGAATATAGCAGCCAGCTGCCAGAAGTCCTTATTTTTAGAGTCCCCTAAGCAGTTTGAGGTTATCCTGATATATCAGCTTATGGCATTTTGGGGACAATCTTCAAATTACTGCTCTAGATAACCACACATATATATATTTAAGAGGCCCTTTCATGGTGTCAGTATCTACAGAATGTATTTTGTTTGAGTAGCCAGAATATGTCATTATAGAATTTGTGATTATAAACTGGTAACTTAGCACACTGGTGAAGTACTAAATTGCTACAGCTTGGTATTTTCTAAATCTCTTAATTCCTGTAATTTGTCTCCTTACATTGACATTCCTGCCAATTCACTTGCTGAGATATCCCATAATGATAACTTCAGAGCTGCGATGACAAATATCATATGCTCTCACAATGATGTGACAGCCGAAAAGATGAATTTATGGAACTCACAGATTTCTTTTTTGCTTTAAAAGCTCATTACAGGTTTTTGTAAGGGGTTTTAAGTTATGAAATTTCCACAGCCTCTCAGTTGCACAGCTAACCTCTTCCCTCCCAAATGATTCACAACTGCTATCCCCTCTCTAAATCCACCAAATCTGCCAAATGGGGTTTCAGAAAACCCTTGCATTTTCTGTGTTTCCCCTGCTGAAACATCGTCTGTGACTCACGATGATCAAATCTTTAACTTGTATTTAAGATCTTCCTCTACAGTATGAGGTGGAGGAGGGGTGATGGAAAGCTGCTATTGGAGATACAACTGAACTGAGTTTTGAGGGGCTTGCAAGAGTTAATCAGGCTGAGAGAGGGGAGGGAGGAGTGCAGTAAGGGGTAGGAGTGAGAATACCAAACAAGATAAATCACACATGTTTGGGGTCGTGGGGGTAGTAGTGATAGTATGACATTTGAGAAGTTGCAGGCATAACATCATGAAGACCTTGGAATGCCACGCTGAATGATGATTTTACTCTTGTAGATAACAGCAAGAAAATAAACTGAAGGAAAATAAATCAGGTGATTCGATGATACTTTAGAAAATTTACTCCAGTAGCTATGGGGAAAACGGATTGGAGTGACGCCAGGACAGAACAGGAAGAGGCTGTCTTATCTTTCAAGTAAATTTTTACCTCCTTGACATGAAGACTCACGTCCTTTGCACTCACTTCTAGTACAGTCCTGCATCAGCACTTGACAAGGTAATTGTTGATTAGTCATAGTTCCTCATACATTCAAAATAAGCCAGTCACACAAATTCAGTGTACACTTAATCCTTCAGGCTGACATCTATCCCGTGGACTGCACAGTGGAGCCCAAATGTGAGGACTGTAGTTGCTTGTGTGTTTTTGTCTTGGAACAGGTGGAAGGTAGGTACTCAAATATTTTTTACTGTTTCTCTGTCATTCTGGGAATATAGAAGAAGGAAAATTTCTTTCCCTGAGTAGGGGCTGACTTTCTTCCTGGGTGATCAGAAAAGCTTACTATGCTCATTTTGGCAAGGTTAGTTCTACATCTGGATAACATACATTTACTGTCATTCTCTTCTCTGTATGGCCTGTGTATATATCTGTAATATTTTGGTGGCTTACAACAAGTTCCTATTATCTATCAAGAAAAGTTCCCTTTTTTCTCCTTCAAAGAACAGAGGTAATCAAGCTACAATAATTCCAATGTGATCCTTCTCAACCCCATCCCATGGATGTACTACTGAAATGTAAGATTTAGTGGGAAGCTTAATAGAAGCTTAATCTATTAAGCTTCTAATGGGCAATGTTTTCTTCTGAAAATGAAAGGATTGCCGAAACGTGGTTGTAATGCTTTGGCCAATTACAATAATATTGTTAAGCCTAAAGCTGATTATTCCAAGAGTAAAAATATGTGAATTCTTTTCATGGTAATGGCGATTATATTTTCTTTTTTGTAAATATGTATTTTTCTCTAAGGCTACATATTGGGTTCCCCAGCTCATAATAACATAACAACTGCTTTTATGTCAAATATCCAATCACCAATAACAACATCACACAAAGATACACAATAGATTTCTTAATATTTCTATGGTAAGAGGACCGAAATTCTATTATTCTTACTCTAGTAAGGCAGGGGAGTGAGATGGCTCATTCCAATACAAAGGTTAGGTTTTCTCCTAACTTTGTCTATTCCCTGCCTTGCAACACTGCCTTTACCTGCTTACTTCCCCAGGAGAAGTATGCTATCTGTGTCTTCACACATTTGTGTACACGTGCAAAGTAGCTGGAAAACATTTATCTCAGAAGTGTATAACTGAAAATTCCTGAATGTCATCTGAGATAGAACAAACCGATCTTATTATAGGCTGTGCTGACCACGTCTAATTTTTAGATATTAGAGGGTTTAGCAACATATTTCTTATTCTATTTCATTAGTATATTGATAGGTTGCCAATAATATGTGTGTTCTTTCAGAAAAGAAAATAAAGCTTTAATGATTGTTATTGATCAGCTCAGGAATTCAATTTTAGTGTAAAATCAATGTTAACTATTTGTAGATAAAATAAATATATATAGCCTTATTTTAATACCTGGGAAAACAAGTTAAAGTGGATATCCAATACACTTCAGGAGAAGGAGCTGATGTGAACAACAAATACCTAGAATATCTACTTCAAGTGAGCCACCCTCTATTCCCAGGACTGGAAGCACTAGCACAGGACACAGATGACATTCAAGAACCTTCTTGAAAGCTTAAGTGGACAGTCTTCTTCTTTTTAATTTCCTGTATCTTAACCATGATGCACAGAGCAAAGAACTTTATTATTACAATCAGTTCCATTGACTCTCCTCCTTACTAGGTCCTGCCTGACCCAAGCTTGGTCTTACCCATAAAAGACGTGTTCTAACCATTTCTAGGGGTAGAGAGCTCCATTTTTGTAATCACCATTGTGTTAACGCTCTATTTCCTTTGACTAATAATCATCAAAACAATCCCTAAAAAGAAGACACACTTTTTTCTTTTTTTGGTACTCACTGCAAGTGATATGCTAGACACTGGACAAAAAGGGGCCCATGGGCTATATCAGGCAGACACGGGGGTACATTAAATCAGGTGGTACTTTGCGTTCAGAGCAGAATGGCCATGTACCTACCACCCCACCACTGAGCTCCTTTCTTTTCCTTTCCTCTCCTGATATCTCTACTTTCTGAATGACTAGTCACCTTGCTTCCAGAATTGCTTCATTCCTGCAATTCCTACTTGGCAATCAAAGAATTCACACAGGATTTAAACAATGTCTAACCTCTCCACCCCCACCACATAACACCTATTAATCACTTTTTTTGCTACCTTAGCCAGTTTTCAGTCCTTTCTCCAGAATTCTGTCTGATCACAGATATTCAAAAGATACTGGCTAGGGAAACTGTCAAAGCAAATAGCATGCCTCAAGGTTTTATGGTAGATTTCAAAAAGTTGCAAATTTTGTTACGACATTGTGCATTGTGTTTTTTATGTATTACATACAATTTAAAACATGACTTTCCTCCTAATGCAGGCTCCAGGAGGGAACAGTGTAATATGTAAAGTGGTAGTACTTTCAAAGTAAGTGTAATAACTATGATAAGGACACTTCAAAATTTCCCTTCACTAATACTTGCAATTCTTAAATGTCTTCTCTGTGACTTTTATAAAAGGATTTAAAAAATTCCCTACAATAGAGACTCATTTCACAATGCTGCTATGCCCCTCTGCCCCTCTGCCTCCACCCCCATGAGTTACAGCTAACTTTAAAACCATTCAGCACGGTTTAAAAATAACAAAAGTTAGAGCGATTTACAATGAAAACCACCCACCTATATTAAGGCAGTAGAGAGACACTGATGGGTTAAAGATCCTTGCAAGGTATTTATCAACAGATCAGCCCCATATATCTCATCTGTTTTCAGATTATCTGCTGCCTCAATCCTACAGGTATGTCAACAATTCAGAATTCTCCAGAGCCCTGGAGCTAACAAAGTTAACACCGGGGTCATTTCTTCCCAGAATTTCTTCTGTTGATACAGGATTCTTTCCAGATGCACTGTTTCAACAATTGCTTGCCTGTTTCAACTTTAGAGACCTGATAGTAATAAGGAAATAATAAACGTAATACTCAAAACCATCGAGAGCCCCTAGACCTTTTCAAAGAACTTTAATTAAACAACATACTTGAACCACCTCTGGTAATTGTTCCATGGCACGTTAATGTTAAATTCCTTTCAAGCCGATTACTTTTTTGAGCCTCAGAAAGCTCAGGCTTTAAAGTAAGTAGGTGTTGTTTGCTGCTTTATCTCTCTGCCTGACTTGCACTTCTGTGCACGCTGCTGAGTGTATTTCAGCTTGCTGGGAAGGTCCTGTTGCAATCAAAATATTTCAAACACTTTGTTCCTTGGTTTGAAGAGCCACTTAACCAGCTGCCCTTAGCATTAGAGCAGAAGCTCGGTGACAATGCCCTTTGCTCTACCATATCAATTCCGTGAACTATGAAGTATTTCTGCTATTCCTGCCTAAAATGCTCTTCTCTCCAGCCACAGTTCCTAGGTCCAATCCTATTGACTTTTGGGGATCTAAAATCTCAATCCCTCTAGAAGCTTTTCAAAATTCTCTTCAGTGAGTGGTCTAATTTGTCTTTCTAAACTCCATAATGCATTAGCTGTTCTTTTTAAGTGTTGCTTACCATTTTTTATTTGATAATACATTTTTTAGAGGGAGGTTTCTTTCTTCAGACTCTTAACTCCTTGCTTTAAAGCAGGCAGAGTCTATGTTTACTTTAGCACCTGCAGTGTCCTGCGTGAAGTACAGGCCCATTCGACTGTTCTTGAATTCATGAAGCAACATGAATGCACGTGTTGTAGAGAAGACAGATCATGTGTGGGTTTGGGACTAAGCATCCAATAAACATTGGGAGGCCAACACATTCTACATATGTGAAATTACTCCTTGTGTCCATCTCACATAATTGATTTAAGGATAAAATAAAATGCACACATATTTTTGAACAGGGACAGGCACATAGTAGATATTCAGCAATGCTCACTTTCCTTCTGATCATCCCCCCCATTTATTGAATAGTTGATGTCTGGTTGCTCCTTCTGGCTAGCCATTCTCAGAGGGTACGAATGAAGGTCTGATGCGCATCCCTGTGTCCCCCCAAGCAGAAGCTAGTTTGGTTCCAGGGTGGCACTGGTTCTGCACAGACTAAAGGGATGCAGTGACTCCACTGGTCAAAAATTGACCTCTATTGTCTTGCAGTGGTTACCCTTGTAAATGTAAATTCAGGGTTTTTTTTTCATGCACTGTGTCAATTCTGTGTTATCGAGACCTCCCACTGTCTCAGAACCACTTCAACTGCATTTAAGGAAAAATGGGAGAGGGCTTGGTGTCTAATAAAAATTCTACTTTGTGTTACTAACCAAAAACCTTAACAATATAACTGAGGAGTGGTTTAAAATTTTAGGCTTATAAATTTAAATCCAGTTCTGCTACCTGTGAGAACCCGAGAGTTACCTAACTACTTCATGTCCTCATCTGTAGAATGGAGACTGAAGAACTTATCTAACAAGTTCTTCAATTTAAAGGGTTGTTTGGGGGAAGGGGTAAAATGACGTAATGAACACAAACCACATAGTCCAATTCTTGGCATATAGTAGGCAGTTACATGAAGTATAGTCATTACACATCTCTGTTTACCTTTCAAATATATAAATATTGACTGCCTGATCCTTTAGGATTCTTTTACAGAAGTCGAAAACAATACATCCTCTCAGGGTCCGCTGTTGCAAATTTCTAGTCTGGTCTGCCAGCGTTTTCCTTCTCCATTGGCCAAAGCCCTGTCACTTCCTAGAGAAACTGTTCATTCAACATTGCAGGAAACAAACTGATACCCCAACTTAATTAACTGTTCAGTTTCTTAACTCTTCTCTTTTCTATCATAAGCTTATAATACTTTATAATGAAAAAATTAATTAACTAATAAAGGAGAGACTGTGTGGCTCTATCTAGCTTTTAGCAGGGGAAAATATTTCATGCTTTCTAATTTTTACATCTATAATAGTTTGCCAACTGCTTCACCCTTCATCAATTACACCCTAACTACCAATTACTGATATAGTATTTTACTTATTTGAAAACCCCTCTCACCTCTTGGCCGAAGAGGTGCGGGCTGGGGTGCTGGGCCGGCGGGGCCAAAGTCCTTCCTCCTCCCCCTCTTCCTCCCTGGGGCGGTGTGATAGCTCCCTCGCTCAAAGCCTCCTAATCAATTTGTTTTTTACTTCCTAGATCAACCCCTCGCTTCTAACACTGGATGGAGCGCCCCGACGTACGTGAGCGAGGCACCGCAGTCCCAATTTACAGTTTGTAGGTGCGCCAGTACTTACAGGTTTTCTTTTTCAAGATGTTTAAAAAGCTAATAAAAGCTAGGGGTGCTTTCTTCTCGAAAAATGATCATACCGAATTTCTGCATAAAATTTCGAAGTGTTTACAGACTCCCGGAGACTCCAGATTAAGACCCGTGGGGAGGGGGTAGGGGGAAGGGGACGAGGGCAGCAGGTTAAGGAAGGAGTGAACATCATGGACTGAATTCTTTCATATGGATATGTATGTGCATTTAACATATGTAGGTACATATATGACAAAGCTGAGTAGGAGATTATTTTAGAAAAGAGTGCTCTCCCCAAGTAAGCGGGTCTGGGTCGGGAGGCGCGGCAGCTCGTACAAAGGAACCACAACAGGTGGGCAGAAGCCCAGGTCCCGCACCCTCAGGAAGCAGCGAGTCGAAGCAACGGGGAGCTGAGAGGTGAGGGAGTGAGTAGGGAAGGTGGAAGAGGGGGGTCGGGGTGGTGCCGGGGGGCAGCAGAGCTCCACTCACCATTGCCCACGAAGCTGCGGCCCTTCCGGGCCAGGGTCTGCTGCACCTGTTCCTGGATCCGCATGCTCTTCGCCGCCTGGCCGGTGCGGCCACTGCTCCCCGTCAGCTTCAGCTTGGCCTCGGAGGGCAGAGCCAGGCTGGAGCTGTCCAGCTGCCCCAGGATCTGCTGACCCAGGACCGTCCGGATGTAGCCGCATTCAGCGGGGGTGCTGAGGGCTGCCATGGGACCTAAGGAAGCGACCGAGCCGCCCGCCCGCCACGAGACCTGCCGGTGAAGCTGCAGCGGAGCTCCGGGCACTGGTGCGAGCCCCGCCTCACCGCCTCGGCCCGCCTCCAGCCCCGCCCCCAGCGCCGGTGGGAGGCCGGTCCAGAGGGGAGCATGACCGAGGGGCCAGTAGAGTCCAGCCTCCCCGGGGGAGGGGGCGCGGCTCCCACCAGGCAGGCGCACTCCGCGCGGGAGCGGGGGCGGAGCCGGCCGCGGGAGCCGGCACCTGGCGAGTTGGGCCCGCCCCCGGGGATGTAGGGGTGGGCGCGGGCGCTCAAGGCTAGAGCGCACTCTGGGATCACCTAGGACACTGCGTGCCAGATCCGCGCCCAAGTTTGGCTGCCTCGCTCGGCCTCCGCCCAGCCTCCGCCCAGCCTTCGAAGGATGTGGTTTCCGCTGGATGGCGTAGGGGACGCCTTCCGGGCAGGTGTGCCCTGAGGAGTCATGTGTCGTACTGGGCTGAGATTTGTTTGCCTCTGGGAACCCCTAGTGAGTAAGCACATCTGGTTAGTCAGTTTGTGTCAGACTGTTTGAAACATTTCGTAGTTTTCCTGTACCTGAGGGTGAGAAAGAACTATTTAGTAAGACAGAAAAAAAAGTAGAAGGAAAATGTGCCAAGATGACATATGTGAAATAAAATATTTTTTATAATACGGTAGTTTTTTTTTTTCTTAGTACAACTTCAAGGACTATGTACTTTTTGCACAGATGCAGTGTCAAAAACATATGTTCTTCCTCATTCAGATCTGTTTCCTCTTACGAACACACGTTGTACCCAGTACACTCTCTGCTCACTGACTCCTCTCTTATGAACACACCCACACAGAGAAACTACAGTAAGAGGCGCCAGGGAAGAGCACACTTTTAATAGGTGATACGTTTTAATAGCCCTTCTAATGTTGATTAAGTCCTCTTTATGACAGGCTCTGTAGGAGGCCCATGGAAGGGGCCTCTGACTTCTGCATTTTCCACAACTTATATTTATCATGCTATTAATTATGTTTCACACGTAATTGACTACTGAGAAGTTGAGAACTAAGCTCAAGGGTCCTTGACCTTACTTACATTTTATAACCTAAGCCACTCGTCCTGATTTTCCTCTTTGGATTTGGGAAGCAGGAAAAAAGTATGTATCCCTGGTATTAAGATAATTTTCCTTTGACTACTTGGGCTTTATGTTCACTTTCCCTCAAATCACTCAGGAACTGTAAAACTCCACTTACTCAGGTCAGGAATGGCTGGGGAACATAGCTTTCCCCTTCTTCCCCCATTTTCCTAGTCATGACCTTTAATCTTTACAGATACCCTTAATGCACAGGTACCTGAGTTTCCAGGGAGCAAAGGAAAATCAAGGGGCTCCAATGCTGAGCAAGGAAATGGTGATGGTTCTGCTACCCTTTCTCAGCCAGCCACATGGCTAAGTCCTTGTGAAATGTAGTGGTTCAGTGAAGTTATGTGGATCTCGGGTCTTGAGAAACGAATTCCTCCCATCCCAGCAGGACCAGTCTGGAGGTATAATCTACCACCAGTGGTCATAAGTGACCAGGTCATTTATGTGCCCGAATGAAAACATCCAATCTTGATGCTAAGATTCTGTTGAAAAGAGAGGGGTGAACAGAAGGGGAAGTGATGATAGAAACTCTGTTCCTATCCTCTTCTTCTCCCTCTCCTTAATCATGGCATTTTAGGGCAGCTCTGAGGGTACTGCTTTGAGAGGTGGTTTCAATACCTGCCATTATAGGGCCAGCTAGGATATCCTGTGTGTGTGTGTGTGTGTGTGTGTGTGTGTGTGTGTGTATGCCCGGAGAGCCATAACTTACAAAGTCTGCTCTGCCTCCATCTACATCCCTCAAGAGGGGAGTAGAGAGGCATTTTTTTTTTCATCTATTTATTTGATTGAGCTAAACCTCATTTACTTTTTTCTCTCAAATTGATTTTTTTCTTTTTAAGTATAATATTGTGATGGACTATCTTATTTTGTAGGTACCAATATTGAACACGTAGAAATCTTGACTTTGGGTAGTTGGGTGATTTGACAGGAAGAAAATGGCCAAAAACAAACTTTGTGAGTGAGGCAGATATGGGTTAAATCTTAGCTTGCCTTTTATAGGTAGTGTGGCTTTAAGCAAGTTTCTTTACATTTTCAAAATGGGAGCAATAAAAATACCTGCCATGAAGTGCTGCTATAAGGATTAAATAGTAAGTAGTTATAAGAAATCCTAGCCCCGGCTGGCATAGCTCAGTGGATTGAGCGTGGGCTGTGAACCAAAGTATCGCAGGTTCGATTCCCAGTCAGGGTACATGCCTGGGTTGCAGGCCATGACCCCTAGTAACCACACATTGATGTTTCTCTCTCTCTCTCTCTATCTCCCTCCCTTCCCTCTCTAAAAATAAATAAATAAAATCTAAAAAAAAGAAATCCTGAATAAATAATTGCTCAATGATCTTTAAGAAACATTTGCCTCCACCCCAGAGACCCACTATTGGGTTTTCTCACCTTCTTCAGGTCTCTGCTCATGTCAACTTATTTGAATGAGATACTTATATGCACAAACACATGGCACTTATTTTCATTATACATGCTTTATGCTTTGCTTAATAGTTTTCTTACTGCAGCATAAGCTCCATGAAGGGGATTTTGTTCACTGTTCTTCTCCAGGTCCTAGAACAGTGCACACAGTAGACAATAGGTATATGTTGAATGAATGAATGATGCATAGGAGCTCTTAGTGTATATCATGATATATAATGAGTGCTCAGCAACTGTTAGTAATGATTATTTAGGTTTTCATACTCTTTTGGTAACTTATTTTTAAAATATTTTATTTATTTTTAGAGAGGGAGGAAGAGAGAAAAACATCAGGTACCTAGTCCTCAATCCAGGCATGTGCCCTGGGTGGGAATTGAACCAGGACCTTTCAGTTTGTGGCATGATGCCCAACCCTCTGAGCCACACCAGTCAGGGCTGGTAACTTATTTTTTAAAAAAGTCAGATAGATATTATGTATTCTAGGTGTTCACATAAGTAGCTACGTAATACTCCTTATAAATAAAAAACAACACTGATACTTTTTCAATACTTTCAGAATTCAATGATTCAGAAAAACAATCCTTTTGAAAATAAGATAAACATACAAACTCATTAAAAGGCTCTCTTTGGAGATGAGAATCCTGTTCTAGGAGCAACAGTTAATTACAGGGTGAGGAAGTATGCAGACTCTGGCATGGCGCCCCCAAATGTCGTCTAGATGTGCTTCTATTCCAACAAAGTGCAGGCCCTGCCTTGTTTCCTGGGACAGCTGCCTAGCCCACTTCCTCAACTGTGAGCGAGTCCTGGGATAGCTGTGAGAGGCAGCTTCTAGCCAACTAACTGAAGCATGGAAATGAAATGCTATGAATACTTTTGTGGTAGTTGGCTAAGCTACAATCTGCTACTTCTTAATATGAAGGCCCAGTTTTGAAAACTTTTATTTCTTTTGTTTTATCTTTACCAACAGTATTTGATAAAAGAAAAGGGTAGAACCACAGGAATGTAGAAGTAAAATGTAAATAACAGATAACTGAATTATGAGGCTACAGTTATCTTCTGCTGGAAACTTACAATAATGATGGGGAAATTCTTGAGTTTTATACTTGCATTTTAATTTGATTTACACACTGTAGCTTTAAAGCAGTAGTCTTTAACTGTTTTCAAATGCAGAGCTAAAACTTCCTCAGAGTAATTTTATTTCCTTTAACCATATATAAATTTCAATATGGGAAATTTCAATACATGAAAAATTCTGGAAGTTACTAAAAGACTACAGTATACATTTTCGAGCAGAAATAATATTTTAATGGATAACATAAAGAACATGAATGTCATCAAAACTCTTTAATTCATATTTAAAAAATACTCATACATTTTCATAATTGTCTGCTCTCATAAAATATTATCCTGTTACTATTTGTAGGCTATTATTACCTATTGCTTTTAAAAAGTATTTTCTAATTTAGTGTAAGAGACCTGGCAGCTAGAAAATTTAAAATAAACCTCAGGTTTTTTATTTCCTTTTTTAGCACATGGATGTGTTGCCAAGGCAATGGGTAGCAGTTTTATCATTAGCCACACATAATGAAAGTGGCTCAGGACTGGAAAAGGAAGCTCTGAACACCACTCCCCAATGGGGACTTTACTTAAAAAAAAATTCTATGTATTTATTTTTCAGAGAGTGGGAGTGAAACATTGATGTATGACAGAAACGTTGATTGGTTGCCTCTCATGTGGCCCCACCTGGAGTTGGCGTGTGTCCTGACCTGGAATTGAACTGGTGACTTTTTGGTTTGTTGGATGACACCCAACCCTCTGAGCCACACCAGCCAGGGCTCCAATGGGGACTTTCAAAAGTAATGAGGATTAAGGTGTTTCTCTTTAATGCAGATGTTCATTTTGTCTGCTATTTTGGATATGTTGTGAGTGTGTAGGTCTGAAAATGATTCTTTTTGAAAGACCTCAAATATGGTGTGGGAGGTGGAAACCAGGTGGGCAACCACTAGGGCTGGCAGTGAGCAATTTGTTCGTAGTCACTGAAGCTTTCAAAACAGTTCCTTTAATCATGACTCATGGCATGTAGGAGCTCAGGAGATCAGTGGAAATGATCCACCTTCTGGGTGGATGACCACAGCTGCTGCATTAATGGTTGTCAGATCTCTCAACTGATGGCCAGGGAGGCTGAAGGGAGGGGACAACTTGGTCAACTACATACTCTTGTCATCATTAGAGACCATGGTCCTCTCTTCGTTGTCTCTGCCATGAATCTAGCAATGAGATAACTAGCAGATGCTTAATAAATAATGAGTGTAACCTCTCACTTATAGGCATTTTGATTAATTAGTTTGCCTGTGTGTGGGTCCAGGTGCAGCTGAATGAAAGGATCCCAAAGGAGGTGGCCTGGCCTGAAACAAAACATCAAAGTGACTGGAGTGCCCAGGGGAGCACATGGTTAGTGATTTTTAACCTTATGAAAGTAGCATAGTAATTCAGAAGAGCTGATTTTTTTAAATAAATTTGTAGAGGATCTAGCACCTCAGTGTCATGTATTTAAATTACTAAAGTTATTGCACTACATACTTTATTTGGAAGTTATTTGAATATAAAATATTGATATATACGTGCATATTTCTTCATAAATAATCTGCATTTAAAAATTTGTCTCCTTTTTTTCATACACAGTATTTCCTTGAAATTCTCCAAACAGAAGTATTACATCTCACGTAGAAAAATAATACTAATAATCTGACCTTGATTTTAAAAGCTGCACCAACCCATCTTGTTTCCTTCAAAAACATCATCAGAATAGTAGGTGATACAAGTGTGTGCTTGAAGGCAGAGCTGAGTTTGGTTTGTTTCTTTACTGTGTGACCTTGAGCAAGTTATTTAAATTCACAGAGCCTCAAGTTCTTTATTTATAATGAGGTGTCATTAATAGTATTGGCTGCACAGGATTGTTAAGAAGATTCATTTAGATAGTAAATAT